CACACACACACACACACACAGCTTAAGCGAATGAAAGACAACACAAACATGCACACATTATACTGGACAAGGGTCAGATTATGTTAGAAACCACCTAATTCATCAATGTTGATGAAATATGGAGCATCGGCAGTTGTTTTCTGACGCTATTCCAGCACCTAACCTGCTGTTTGGGATGGATTATACTGGCAGCTGCGGGGACTTCAGGGTTTATGATCTATCAGAACCACTTTGTCCTCAAGAAGACATTCAGAGTGTCGCGCTCAGTTGGTTACATTAAAAGTGCCAAAAGCAGTTATGTAACAAATGAACAAAGAGAGCCAGAGAGAGAAGTACAATCCTTATCTGTTTTCTCACAGCTGGCCAGTCACAGGAACGGTTGAAACAGACTCCCTGTAATGACGGAGGAAAGGTGTGTGCGCACGTGTGCACGTTCCGAAGCTCTCCGATTATCTGACATGCATTTTGAGTGAAGGCTGCTCTATAGTCTACATCCATCTACAATCCAGTGATTTTGTTTAGCAGATCTTACATTCGCTTCACAGTGAGCAGACTCTGTGCATGTCCACTGATCTTGTCATGCTGCATGTTTTGATCAGCTTTTCCGTGTGGCCAGAACCTGCAACTTTTACGCTCACACCTTACAGGCAGATTGGCCGACCACAGCATGGTGGTCACACTGACGCCTGGGCCACACTGGGTGTGTGCGCAACGTGTCTGAACTGCGTCACTGATCTGCTGCGTCCCAAGCATCTGTTGTTCACCGAGGGAACATGTCTGCTGTGTGCCAGCTGCAGAACTGCTATGTAAGGTTTCTGGTACTGTATATTCTTGAATAAAAATAAGGTCAAACTTGACATGTGCGCTGAAATGAAAAGCACGACGTCCACAGCACCGCTCATGCATCCAGAGAGTGAACATGGCAACTACAGTGGTTTTGTCCATTGGCGACTGAAATGAAGGTTATTGAGACAAAATAGCTGCATTGTCAAAATGACAGAAAGGTAATGTTCCTTTGGGCAATTCTTCATAAAATATAGAGCTTAGTTTTATACCAAAGCAGCCTCAAGACTACAGCTTTACTTAAAATACATTGTAGATTAATTAACATAAAATAAACAACATAAACTTTGGAATTGCACAACTTACTAAGAGAGATTTAATTGAGAAAATGTCTTCAGCGCAACAAATTGAGTTGTATTAAAATTCAAACACTGAGCATTCAGTGGAGATTACTTTTTGACATTTTGCCCTCAGCTACTGAAATGCTGAAAATTATTTTGCCGTTGATTTGTAGCCATTGTAGCTAATTATTTTTATCTGAAAAACATGCTGTGGTTTATTCTGCTGCTGACCTATCTCATATCCTGACCCAACTCTTCATGGGAGCAGTTGCAGTTTACGGTCTTAACATTGAAAAATGTGCAAAACCAGAACGAACACATGGCACACACCCAAACACACACACACACACACACACACACACACACAAACACACACAGAGAGAGAGAGAGAGAGAGAGAGAGAGAGAGGATGATGGACATGTCTATTAAAACAGCAGAGCAGAGACTGGATGAGATGGCCAGGATCAATGTTTCAGCAGTCAGAAAATAATGTACAGCGATATAGACCCCATCCAGGATTATCATGACATGTCAGCCTTGGTGGTACAGCATCGGGCTGCGACAAGAAAGAGATGGATTTGTCAAGTGAAAGTAATATTTTTTTTCCTGAGCTTTCCTCGCCCCATCGTAAATTAAAATCTATTTTAGTGTACTCCACTCTAGGAAGAATGAGGACATCAGTAAGTTATTTACAGCTTTAAACCCTCTTAGATACACAAGTCTCACATCATCACAGTACTTTAAATCTGACCTCTGGTTGGCGGGAGAGTCAGAAACTTTGACAGTTTTATATAATGATCTTGTTAAGGCCACTCCAGTGATTAACTTTAGAATTTGGAATTCTGTAAGTATTAAAGTCGAGAAGAAGAGACGTCTGATCTGAAGAACCAATCCGTTTTTCATCCATTCCAAACCATGCGTAAAACAATGTCTGAGCCCTTCAAGACACAAACATTTCCCATGACCTCTGCTGCTCAATGAGAACAACACTCTAATGCTCCAACTGAAATTCAAGCAATTTCACAATGACTTTATCAATGAGATTCAAGGATTACAATTGGTGGTGGTCAAGGTTAAGACACAATACAGGTTATAAAAAACACTTGTTTGCCTCTGATGATCGGCATTTTTTAATATTTTAACACTACAGTAAATGAGTGATCAAAATCAATAAACTGAAAATAATAGAATAACAGATAATCAGAAATGTCCACCACCGCTTTGACTCTAAATTTGGAATTTAAGCTGAAAGATTTGTGCTGGGTATTTTTGCCTCTCACAAGCAGATCTATTTTTGTCAGCAAGTCAGTTGACATTCCAGCATTGCTGTGTGGGGCATGTGAGGCTGACCTTGAATTACTACTCTGGTATTTGAAAGACAGTTGTTCAGTTACACCATCATATTAACACGTTTAGATTTTCAAGGCCCCACTGAAACATTCCCATCCATACATGTTCAATCACTCACCTGCCCTGTTGATCTCAATGATCTCCTCTTGTGCCAATGGGCAGTCTCCAGTACCCATCATGCTGCCAGATCCTACCATGCCCGGCCCAAGCACATTGCCCATCAGCCTGTGAGGAGAGGCGGTTGCCATGGCCAGGGCGTCTGGCTTGCAGTAGTTAGGACTGCCTGGCTGTGGCGCTCGGGGGATGTGCTTGTTCCTCTTCTTGGGGAGCTTCTGCTTGGCCATGGCCAGGGAGTAATACATGCCGAAGTTGTTGACAATAACGGGCACAGGCATGGCAATGGTCAGCACACCAGCCAAGGCGCAGAGGGCCCCCACCAACATTCCCGACCATGTCTCAGGGTACATATCTCCATAGCCCAGTGTGGTCATGGTCACCACAGCCCACCAGAAGCCAATGGGGATGTTCTTGAAGTTGGTGTGGGCGGCAGCCGTTGGATCATCTGGGTCGGCACCAATGCGTTCAGCGTAGTAGATCATGGTAGCAAAGATGAGGACGCCCAGCGCCAAGAAGATGATGAGCAGCAGGAACTCGTTGGTGCTCGCCCGCAGAGTGTGGCCCAGGACCCGTAAACCGACAAAGTGGCGGGTCAGCTTGAATATACGCAGGATACGGACAAAACGCACCACACGCAGGAAGCTCAGCACGTCTTTGGCTGTTTTTGAGGAGAGGCCACTCAATGCCACCTCCAGGTAAAAGGGCACGATGGCCACAAAGTCTATGATGTTAAGGGCGCTGTGGAAGAACTCTGCCTTGTCAGGGCAGAAGATGACGCGCATCATCACCTCAATGGTGAACCAGATAACACAGACGCCCTCCACATATGTCAGCCAGCCATCTGTGACCACCTCATACACTATCTGCAGGGTGAAACAAAAAATAAAGGATTAATTGCTTTTATCGAGCCCTTCAGGACAGGCTATACGCCTGAGAGCACAATACAATGTTTCACAGGTAACAGTTTTTCATTTATGCTTCAGAGTCCCAGTATGTCACAAATTCAGTGCAACTCTAAACTAAAAATACGTAACTCATTTTAGGGCAATCCTAAATTATACCTAACATCTACATCAATTTTGCATCTGTTACGATACATATTTTTTATTCATTGAGGTTAATGATAATTGGGCATGGTCCCTGCAGAATAAATGAAATAAACTATACTAAATGACACTTATTTATGAAAAGTACATCTTAGCATGTGATGAAAATTGTGTAATGATGACTTATATGGATCTGGAGGAGCTTTGTCAAGTGTAATAAAAAGAAAACTGTGGTTTTGCCATAAGGGTTATCTCTCCGTAGGTGATGTATGAGATGATGCATTGACCTTGCAAGGAGGGCCTAGCAAAATGATGCTAATAATTGCATTATGGGATATGTAGAATAGAGTACTTCTCAAGGTTGATCCAAAGGGTTCTAAAAAATTTATGGATATTTTAGCCTCTGCGGCTTCTTCATTCATTTTTAATCTGTTCCTCACAAATCACTTCACTTTATTTTTATCAAAGAGCTGTTGCTGGAGTGTCACATTCACATCAAGACTAACGGACCAATAGGCAGAAACGTCACCCTACCTCCTCGTGTGTCACGTTGCCGATTGTGACATTCTCCGTTTTGTTGTAGATGGTGTTGAAGGCTTCGTGGGTCTCCAGGCAGAAGGTGGAGATGGAGAGGAGGATGAAGAAGAGTGAGCCAAATGCCACATACTGCAGAGAGAGAGAAACAGACAGAGGGTTCAGGGAAATGTTGCATTTTGCACATAAAACATATTACCTTCCTTTTACTGAAAAAGAGCAGGAGACTGTCACAGCTGCACACCAAAACTGCAGGGGCAACACTGTTTTTGTCGACAGTATGAGCCTTTGTCTTTAGTATTTTGGTGTTCATGGGATTGCTGATGGAGGAGGAGGGGTTTGGGCCATTGCAGTATGTGGAAAGCAGTGGTTATGCCAACACACTGCAGATAGGGGGCGGCATTGACACACTGAGGACAAATGCTGTTAACTCAGCGCAAATGTCTTGACTGCTGCAATCCCACTGATAATGGCAGTCAGAGAGATAGAGGGAGGGAGGAGAGGATGATGGATGGAGTGTGTTAAGGAAATGAGGTACAGAGGGTCTGTGTGTGTGTGTGTGTGTGTGTGTGTGTGTGTGAGAGAGAGTGTGTAATAAGATCAGTTATCGCCAAACGTCTTTAACCACCAAAACACACATACACACTCTATCTGCCAGTAAAAGTGCTCAAATTTGTTGCAGTGTATCATCACACATGTTCTGTATGTTGCTCTGCAGCATCTCTTTGAGTCTCCAACTGTCCCTTACCTTCCAATCTCTTTGTCCCTGCATTTTCTCAACCCTAATATTCCTTCTCAGCACTGTCCTGCCTCATGATAATGCAGATACTGAGTTGTCGATTCTGAGCCAACTCAATTTTTCACAGTCACAACATTTACATATTTGGCTTTATCTGCTCATGAGCAACCGTCTTTAACTTTGGAGCAAAGGTTGATCAGAAACTGCGTGATGAGAAGCAGATAATCAAAGAGAATTAGTGAGACCGTGGCTGAGGGAGAAAAGCATGGTTACATATTCATGGAAACGAAAACAGACAGAATTCCTTGCTTCATTTGGGCAGCAGAACGAGCTGCAAGCCCACAACTGTGACAATACAAGAAACTGTAAGCACATCCGGTAATATCACAGCATTAGAATTCGTTTGAAGTCCTATATTCACTCTCACACTCTCTCCGACTCCTCAGACATAATGTCTGACTCTTTAGTGGCTAATTGTTCGATTGTTTTTGACAGCTAGTCTCTAACTGTGTCTGTCTGCTGGACAGGCTGGTTTGACAGAGCCCTGAGACTGAAAGCAGGTTAATGAGAGCCCTGAGACTGAATCCAGACAATGAAGTCGCCAAAAAAATCCTTTTGAACTAGAAAGACACTGAAATGCTCTGCACAGCAATGCAAAAGCTGTAAATGAGACCCAATAACTATCATGTCTGTTTTGTCCCAGGTTTTTGTTTATGTTTTTGTTGATCATTCCATTTGTAAAACTCTCTGAGACTCATAAACATCTTAAACAGTTGGCTGCTGCTGATAAATGCAACCGTTGATCGACATAACTATGGAATGTCGAAATATTTGATTGTGTGTTTTGGTCCAGTGGGAGTAAGTACAGTCAGATTAAACTGATTAATTGTGTGTATGTAAACAGACTCCCTGTAACGACATAGGAAAGGTGTGTGTGTGTGTGTGTGTGCACGCATACAGCAGTGCAACTGCCTGCTAGGTCAGTGATGAAGGTCGACTTACTGCTCTGTGTGTATGTCAGCGTGTGTGTCTACTGACGTGTTATGGACATACAGCATATTTATGTGCAGTGCTTGTGTAATCAGCTCCATGTATATATAAATGTGTGTACTTAAATGTAACCACTGTATGTGTTTGCTTAAGTATTTACACATGTTAGAATGCTCTCTCTCTCTCTCTCTGTGTGTGTGTGTGTGTGTGTGTATACGAGCACGCTCTTCAGCTAAGTGATGAAGATAGACAAATGAAGTCTTCCTCTAAACCTCAGGGAGCACAGAAAGTCCCACAGCTTATTATCATGGTCTAATTTAACACTGCTATCTAGAGCTGCCCTGGATACACAAAACACACACACACACACACACACACACACACACACGTTCTTGAACATTTTAGGGTTGTCGGAGAGTTATTAAAAGCAGAAACAAAAACATCCTCTCATTTAACTTTTCAACTTGCTCTTTCTCTAACTGGATGCTGCCCCATCAATTTTTTCTCCGTATGAGTTATTTTATTAGGGTATTTTTTGCAAAGAATAATGCAGGGAAGTTTCCTCTGTTGCTCTTTATCCGACAAGTATGTGGATAACAAAAATCAGTCTGAATGGAAGAATTTTGAATAAAATGAAATGGACTTCAGGTCATTATCATCTTGTTCAATCCTTTGGGGACTAATGGAGAGCACTGGTTTGACTATGACTATTTAACCTCCCTCTAGTTCTAATTCCCTTAACTCAGCGTAGCTTGAGGGTGCTTTCACAACTCCTTTGTTTGGTCCAGGCCTTCTGACTTTCCTGTTAATTCTGAGCCAAAATAAAAGGTGTGAAAGGTGCCTCGGACAACGGTACAGATCAATAGACCAAAATTGAGTCCAACCACAAGACGTTGTCTCGGTCAGGATCAAACTCAACCATGATTCGATTCCTTTGCAGTGTGAAAACACTTCATGCAAATCAGCTCAGTTCAACATTTCAGTGGACCCATCCCAGGTAAGCCCATTACATTCCCAGTCCTAGTTTTGTTGCCTGTTTTGGTTTTATGTGCATACGTAGGTGCAAATTATATGTTGCTGTTTCAGTGATCTTGTATGAGTTGTTAGGTTTCTGTCGGTCTGTGCCTCACAGGCTGCCCGGCTGCTACAGTCGTGTCTGCCAATTGCTTGTGGTTGTGTGCTATATAAATACAGACCATTTACACAAATGTGTTTGAGGCTTAAAAGGAAACACTGCCCATTCACTTTCAATGTGGTGACCTCACACGTTGCTGAACTGCATCATTGCTCCCTTGTTTTGCTTTGCTTTAGAAAAGCTAAATTTTTCAAGCATGACAGGCTCTCGACAATGATATCAGGTTCATACTAACACCGCTCCTTCCCAGTGTCCCGAGCTGGAAACCGTAATTGGTTCTCTTGTCTTTTTTGAGTAGCTTAAAGTTCCAAAAAGATACACATTCCTGCAAAAGCACATTCTCTATAATAACATTACCTTCATGATGTTTTACAGCTAGATGAGGGCTCAGTTCCAGACCAGTAAGTTGCTGATGCTCTAAAAGACAGTCTCTTCCTGCCAATCATTCACACTTATCCACTGATGACAGGGAAATGAACACAGACGAAAACCATGCAGGATTTGAAATATTCCAAACGTTGCCATTGCAAAATATTGCTTTAGGTCAGAAAGGATTCACCATGTCTCCTGGGCCTCATGTACACACTATGTGTTCGGTGAGTAACACTGATAGTAAGCAGTTGACCAACCAGGCTACAAGTAGCTACCTTGCTACCATTCTAAAATTGTGTGTGTGTGGCACTAAGACAGAAAGTAAGTCTGAGGTATTTAGTCAGAAACCAAAAGTATTTGGCTCTGTGACTGATGATTTTCTCTTTAAACATTGTTTGTCTAACAATACAGCTGAGATTTGGTTTGTTTTTGTCAGATCACAGCTAACACCATGAACTCTTTCAGAGGGAAACACATTCTTCCTGCCAAATGTTTCCCAAATGTGTGTCTGCTCTGTCAGACGCTGCAGTAGATAACCATCCTCCATTAGGCATCATGGTAAAATAATGTGATTGTAAGACTGGCTGATACGAGGGCTTTAGCCTAAATTGTGGCCAGCTAAGGGAACATTATAAACTGACTGTGTCATTTTGACTTTTACAAAACCCTCACGAAGACTGACAACATTTTCCAAGTGTAAACAATTCACCATTAATACGATATATTAGCTACAATCAGAGAAATACACAAGTACATATGGTGAGCCCGAATTTGTATAATTACAAGTCACCTTTGGGACTTTTCCAGGATCATGAAACCAGCTCATTTTAAGAGGAGATTACCATGTTAATCTATTTTGAATGGATAACCTACTCGAGAGAGCATCAGCTCAAAACCTGCCCTCCAGACTCCTGACCAGTCAGATCACAGGGAAAGTGGAGTACGGCTTTAGGAGGACAAAACTACTGAGTTTACAACAGAGAGATAAAGATCGTGAAAACCATTAGATTTGATTTGATTTGACTCGCACTGTGTGCAGCATGAAATCAGATCACAATCAAGACATAATCAATAAAACCACATGCTTTGTTTGGCTACACTGTAAAAAAAAATACAGCAGCTGCTTCTTTGTTGTATTTATGACAAAGTAGCGGCTCAGCGAGCGTCTGGTAGTTACCAAGTCAACATTTGTTAAGTCATCAAATCTCTGGGACAGAGAATTTCTCACCACAACTTTTATTTTTAATCATTATTATTGATAATGTTGATTAATACACTTTAATTCATACATTTCATAATTTGTATACACGATCAGCAACATTAAACCAGTACGGCTGATCCTGTTTATCTGCTGCACCCAAGAGTTCAGTGTGAACCATGTCTGGGAATGAAAACTTAATATCTACTTCAGATTTGATTTCATGGCTTGACTTTATCAGAAACACACTTGATCATTTGTGTTGTGGTGGCTTATGTGGGTTGTATATTTTCTGTGTTACCTATGAACATAATTCCTTTAGAATGGAGAATACATGTACTTATATTGTATCATTAATATTGTATTGATATGTATATACATATAAGTGCACTTTAAATGAATGAAGTTAATGTTCCTGATGAGTTTGGTTTTACTCAAGTGCCTGTTTGGTGGGACCTCCATAGCTACGCTCCTCTCTCTTCACTGTGCAGACTCTGGCTCCACATGGCATCACCAGTGAAAGATGGCAGCTCCTGTATCTGCGATATTTTGGCAACATTTGGAGATGCGTCATCCACCTTTATATACAGACTACTGGTTAAATAGTGGTTCATCTTTCTCTTTCTCCTCTTCTATCTTAGTAATGTCCTTCCTTCATCTTCATCATCATATTCCCTCGCTTCTGTCAGTCATACAGA